CCCGGGGCGCGCCCCCACCCTTGCGGGGTAAGGAAGAGGCCCACCGAGGCCAGAGGAGCCTTTGAGGGGGCAGATACTAAGCCCCGCAGCTCATCCCCCAGCCCACGCCCCTGGCCCACCTCACCCCACACTGGCCCGCCACCAGACGGTGGCAGAGCAACCTCGACCCGTGCTAAGGATGTGCAAAGCTCTGTGCAAATTTAGGGGTGACCCCGTTGCTGTTGGTGGCAACGTGGCTCCAGCTTTAGGCACCTTGGGGAGCCCTGGATGCCCCAGAGGGATTGCCTGAGAGGTTTACTCACTTTAAAGGAGGGACCCCAAAGAAACCAGCAATTCTCCACAGACCCAGGGTGCTCAGGCTGGGTTCCTTCCCCAGTCCTATCTCCTAGACTTGGGGAGCAGGGCCTGCTTCACAAGCAACCAAACAGTGAATGTTGGTCTTGAGAATCTACTGATACCATCTGAAATTCTCTGTAATTTCTGAACAAGATGTCCTGAATTTCAGCCTGTAGCCAGAGGCCCCACCCCTCCCAGGCACCAGCAAACAGAGGAATAGGCATGGATGACCATGCACTGGTGAGCACAAGTTCCAATAGCCCATCACATGCCCACAAAGGTGGAGGACAGATGTGGGCCCATGCACCACCCCATGTCTCTGCAGCTTCAGCTGGCTTGGGCAGAGGCAGGGGGACCACAGCAGTCACAAATGTGCTCTGCACCCTGGCTTTCCCTGTCACCATGATGGTCATAATAGTGGTGCCCACTCCATGGACAGTCCCGGAAACTTCAGTCCAAAGAGGGAGGCCTGGCTCAAGCTCCCAGATAGTCCCCGGCAGAGTGGAGGCTAGGAGAAGGAATGAGGAAGGGCCAACAGAGGGAAAGGAGGGGTGCTCATTGGCAGGGCTGACCAGATCTAAAAGCCTTTAAAAAGAAAGAGATGGAGTTGGGGCTGTAGCTCAGTGGCAAAGCACTTGCCTTGTACATGGGAGGCACTGGGTTCAATCCTCAGCACCACATAAAAAAATACACAAATAAAATAAAGGCATGCTGTCCATCTACAACTATCAAAAAAGTTTAAAAGTGGGACGTGGCCTCTGGGAACCGTGGGTACCCAGTGAGGTCCACCCCTCTGGAGGCTGGAGGGTTCCCTGCACCAGCCTTCTGCTGCCCCCTGGGGGTTCTGTGAGGATCTACAGCCCCAGCCTGCACAGGAAGCCTATCAGGAGGTCTCCGCCTATCACATGGCCAGCCTGGGGCTTCCCACTACCTCCCTCATCCCCTAAGGATTCTCTGGTGTTCTGGGCCCACATACCAGGAGCCCAGCTGAGAAGCAGGAAGCAGAGTCCTCCCTCAAGGCCCTGCAGAGACCACTGCCCACAGCTCTGCCCAGGGAGCAGGTAGCAAACAATGACCCCACAAGACCCCTGGCGATCCCCTTGCCCCTTGCCCAAGAGCCAGCCTTGCACACCAGAGGGTGGACACACAGGGCTTGGGGGAAGTGAATGCACTTGTGGATACAAGAAGGGCAGAAGCCACAGGGTTCCAGGGAAGGCTTAGGGCTGACCAGAGATGCTGACCTCTAGAACCAAAATCACCACCCACATTACATTACACACACCGGCACTCTCCCCAGCTCCAGAGTCAACTGCTAGGCTCCCTCTTAGGTGGCCCTGCAGCCCAGGGACACACAGACTCAACCACAGGACCACCAGATCCCCAGCAGTGCCCACGCAGTCGGCTTCCCCCTCCTTGAAGACCAAGAACAGGAACGGCCAGCTAAGTGGGGAGCCCAGGGCAGTCTCCCCACAGCCTGACTCCCAGAGCAGGGTACCCAGAGCCCGGCGATCCTGAGCCCCAGCTTCCCAGCACCCCAAGTGGCAGAAACGGGAAGGGCAACAGTTATGGGCAGGGTGCCCCAAGAGGTGCCAGAGGGTCTGGGGAAAAGGGAGAAAAAAAGGGACCTGGTCCGAGCTCCGGTACCGAGCCCAGCATTCAGGATGCCAGCCCAGTGTGCCCGCACCGGCACTGCTCTCCCTTCTCCCAGACCCTGCACACAACACCCACATTAGCAGATGAGGCCCATCTGACATGAAACCCGACAGCCAACCAAGGGCCCCAGGGCAGTCCAGGAAGGACTGGGCTCACTTCTGCTGCCAAGTTGGATTCAGACAGTGGCACGTCACCTGTCCACAGCAGGGCCCAGGGTAGGGACACCATGCCTCCCTGGCCCAGTGCCCAGCCCCTCACCACCAGGGTCCCATCCTCCACAGAGCCTGAAAGCCAGCAGGCCAGGCCTCTGGGCCTGGTGTGGAGGACCAAGAGGCAGGCCCCACGCTGCCCACCATGCACTGCCCAGCCATGACCTACCTTGGCTCACCACGGGAAAGAGACCAGTGGACTGGTGAACGGTCAGCACAGCCGGGCAGGGTGGAGCTCTGCAGGAGAGAGGGCAGGATGCAGGCCACACTACACGTGGTTTCCCCTGCAGGTGCCCAAGGCCATGAGGGAGGTGTTCCAGTGGGGGCAGAGAGGGGGTGCACAGCCAGACTCCAGGGCCAGGCCTCTGACCAGTGGTCCAAACCAGGGCAGCTTTCCAACAGAGACTGTTCTTCAAGTTCGCCCACCCCAGCCTCCCAGACGCTCAAGCAGGATCACAGACTGGCCCACAAATAACGCCCGGGCAGGAACACACGTGCTCAGAGACATGCAGAGGCACACGGCCAGGACATGCATGTGGGGACATGCAGTGGGGTCCACCCCAGGGCCAGTGCCAGAGAGCTGCCTGCATCATCTACTGCCCACCAGGTGTACCCATTCCCCACCCCTCTTCGCTCTCAGCAGACTGATACCCACACTCAGGAAGGGGCTTGCTCAGCCAGCCATGTCCCATGAAGCTCATCCATCTGCCATCAGGGTCCCCAGACAGAATGCCCTTGGCTACGTGGGAGGAGGTATGGGTGGGAAACTCTGGGGGGTGAGCCACAGAAGACCACAGTACCTACCTGTCCAGAACACATCCTACTCAAAGAGGACCTCCCCAAACTCCAAAGAGAGGCTGCCCACAGCAGCCCAGGGCAGGCAGCAGGCAGCAGAGCAACGTCTCTGAGACCCTCAGAGGGAGGGTAGTACAGGCCGGGCTCGGGAGTTCAGAGCCCGGGGCTCCACACACAGCCCAGCTGGCCCAGGGAGACAGCAAAGCAGGAGGCAGGGAGGGAGGGCACTGCAGACACCCGGCCAGGCAGGGCGACACCCCACACAGTCAAGCAGGGACCAGAAGCTGCACACAGCCCAAGTAGGACCATCTCCCTCCCAGCCTAATCTGAGCTCCTGGAGACTGGACACACCCCTCATACTTCCCCACCCACTTCAGGGAGGGACAGAGAACAGGGATGGGGTGGGAAGCATCTCAGTGGTCATCAAAAGGGCCCCAGCCTCTCCTCCTGGAACACCTGAGCTCAGCACCTTCCCCTGCTTCCTCCCCTTCACCCTGAGGTGTGTCTCTATTGGAGGTCACATGGGAATGGGGGTAGAGGAGACACAATTAAACCTTTGGGGTGCCCATGTATGAACAAAGCTAAGCCAACCCAGGCCAGTGCCCCCATGCCAGGCACTCCTACAGAACAGTCGCTAGCATATCCTTCTTGGGCACCTGGGATGGATGACAGTGATGTTCCAAATGCTCCCAGCCAGGTATGTGTCCAAAGGGTCATTGGGTTGAGCCAACTAGTCACCACCACTACTGCACACCCCCACTTGCCAGGACCCCCATAACTGTGAGGAGGCACTTGGACAGCAGACACTGGAACCTTCAGCACACAGCTAGCAACCGGATGAGCAGGGTGTGTGCAATGCCAGCAAGGTAGGACCCGTGTAGCTTACTCCCCACCGAGCACACCCACAATACCCATCTGTCCCAGATGGGCTGAGCCAGAAGGCACAGATGTGGAGGGTGAGGCTGGGGTCCCCAGGAGAGAGTCACCACTGCCATTCTTGGATGACAGCTTCTGGTCCCATCAGAGCTTTACAGATGGGGAAACTGAGACTGTGATCCAGGGCCAGAGGCACAGCCAGTTCAATTCTAGCCCAGGGCTCTGCTCCCTGGCCTCCACCACCCTCCCACCTGTAGCTGACCTGTTTCCCCGGGCAATGCCCAGGGTGGGGAGGGGCTCAGCAGCCAGAACTTCAGTCACAGTTTTCCCTTGTTCCCTGCTCAGAAGTGACCCCTCCTCTGGCAGGAACCATGCCAAGCAGGATGCAAACCACACATCCTGGTACCTGGACTCCACATAGAAGCATAACCATCTCCTGCTCCTGGCACCACTGTGCACCCTTCTGGAAGCCTGGGTCCCACCGACTGCTCACCAGGGGAGAGGGATTTTTTGAGCTGGCCGGCTGGCAGGCACTATAACCTGTGCCTCTGTGTGTGCCTGAGCTGGCCCAGGTCCCAGCCTACTTCTGCCCCCAAATGCACACGGAGGGACACATCAACCAGGCTGGAGGCACGGAGCAGGGCTGACTTCTGAACTCTCCAAGGTCCTCAGGTCTAGCCTGATTCAGAGCTAAGGACAGGCCTGAGACACAGAGCCAGGGAGGGGCAAGTGCCCAGGGACAGGTATCCGGGCTGAAAGGGGGTGGCCTCAGGATTCTCTGGTCCAGGTCCTCTCCTAGAAAGTCAGAGCTGGAGGGAGGAGGTAGAGGGTAGGAGAGAGGAGGATGCCACTGCCCCAAAAAGCAGTACCCCCCAACCAGGGCCCCAAGCATGCACACACTTGGAATTCAGGGAATGTCAAGTTGGCTCAGCCCTCTCTCCCAAGTCTCTCCCAGAGTAAACAACTTTTCCAGGCAAGAGCAGGGGTGGGACAGGCCATCCCTCCTCCAGGAAGCCTTTGGTCCACACATATCCCCAGGGTCCCCCTACTGACATTCTGGACCCTATTCCCTGCCTCCCTCACCTCCAGTAAATAGCAGCCTTCTGCAGCTGAGCATGGGCCAGACCCCAGGCCACTGTGACTCAGGGCCGCTGTGCTGCCCTTATGGCCAGGGCAGGATGTTCTGTCCACTCAGCCTGGAAAGAGGGGGCAGGAAAGGGAAGTAAGTAGCCAGAGCTCGTGGCTCTGCACGTGGCCCTGTGGGGGATGGCAAAATCAGCTGCGGAGGTTGTCCAGAGTAAGGGCGTTGGTATAAAACCTAACGGGCAGCGGCTGTGTTCCACTCCTGACCCAGGAGACCCTCCATAGCCCTCCCCTACAGCAGAGTCCAACATTTGCCCCAGAGGGCAGTTGGCAGATGCCTGGGACTCCACAGAGCTTCTCTCCAAACTCCACGGGCAAAAAAATCTGCCTCCAAATCCTCACCCCCAGATCCCAAAGCGCACCTCCTCCATCAAACCTCCCTGCCCCCTCTACCCGGTCCCTCCCACCTCCCAGGCAGTCCCATCACAGCAAGAAGGTGCTGAGTCCAAGCTCGCCCCACCCCATCAATGTCCTCGAAGTCCTCAGTGGCCCGCAGGTCCTGCAGCCACAACCCCGGGGTCTGAGCCGTGTGGAGGCTCAGCTCAGAGCGCGCCCGCTCCACGACGCCCTCCCTGACCACTTCCCCCCCACTCTGCTCAGAGGCGCTCGCGGGCGTCCAGCGTTCACCAAGCCCGCCGTCCCGCTCCCCTCCCGGGCAGGGAAGGG